GGCACTGGAGTAGGTAATAACTTCAACTTTTGATTCAAATTTGTAAAAAGAACAGCATTCTGGCAATATTCTAGGGACGTAAGAAAGGTAAATGTTCAACAGAACTAATCAATGCTTTTTTTTTTTTTTGAAGACAAACATTTGAAAAGTAAGAAAAAAGAAAAGCCAAAACTAAAATGAATAAATAACTCGTTTGATTTATTTACAACCCATCTAATCACCAAAATTTAAATGTCATCCCAAGTGGTTGACCAAAAAAAATCATATTTGGATTACTTTACCACTAATTTACAATAATCCAGCTCAATTAGTGAAATGAATTCTGATGTTAAATCATAAATTCTAGTTCCATTAGTAATTCAATTAAGAAGAGGAAGGCTCAGGATGTAGTTCAGTGGTAAAGCATTTGCCCAGCATGCAGACAGCTCTGGGTTCAATCACCAGAACTGCAAAAAAAAAAAAAAAAAAAAGTTTAAAAAATAAAAATAACGACCTGAAGGACCAGGGATGTAGTTCAGTGTTAGAATGCTTGCCTAGCATACATGAGACCTTGGGTTCAGTCCCCAACACACACACACACAGAAATATGGTAATTATGGATGTAGTTACTTAAGATAAGTTTATACTAGAGGAGTATAGCAAATCCAGTACGATCAATGCCTTCATAAGAAAGGGAGAAGAGACACAAAGACTGGCACACAGGGAATAGAGCTATGTGAAGATAGTGCCAGAGACTGGGAATGTTTTCAAGCCAAGAAGTGCCTAAGATTGCCAGCAACCATAGAAGCTAGGATGAGGCAAGAAAGGGTCCAGCCCTAGAGGCTGCCAACATTTTAATTTTAGATTTCCAGCCTCCAGAACAGTGAGGGGATCAATTCTGTTCCCTTAAGTGACTCAGTTTGTGGTACTTTGTTCTGGTGGTTCCAGAATCTTGCCTTCAATAACTTAATGCAATTACTAAAGGCAAGGTCACTGAAACTGTGAGATGAGCACTATCAGTGTTACCAGGTCATGATTTTTTTTTAAGTTGTAGATGAACACAATGCCTTTATTTTGTTTATTTTTATGTGGTGCTGAGCATCGAACCTAGTGCCTCATACATGTTAGACAAGTGTTCTACCACTGAACCATAATCCCAGCCCCCAGATCATGTGTGTTTAATGGAAGAGGAGGCAGTGAGATGTTCCACATCAAGGAGAAACACTTCTGTTTTCCTGTATCTTTTATGGCTTAGTCCATGCTGAATATTTTTACAAACTTATGAATCTTTTGGGTGATGATGTAAGAGACTGATTGTAAGAAAAAGAAAAATCCACTTTTATTCTTTGAACCCAAGCCAAGATTTTTTGCCTTTAGTGAGTGTAATACTGTCATGATTGACAAGATGAGCTTCAAACGATAATCAGCAGAGGATGTCATGCAAATTAGACACACCATAAATGCAATAATTTACGAACTAATTTTCTTTGAACATATCATGTACTGACTTAGATCTGAATCAAATGTTAACATTGCATTAAACTACATTGCTTAAAATGTTGCTGAATGTAATTTTGAGTAAATAAAAAACTCTTTAAAGATGTTTATAAATTTTATATACTTATTTTTATAGCTTTTTTTTTTTTTTTTTTACAAACTTATGAATCTTTTAAGACAGGTTCCTGTTAAATTGTCGAGGCTGGCTTTGAACTTGTGAAGCCGCTGCCTCAGCCTCCCAAGTGGCTGGGATTGCACCACTGCATCTGGCAGAATCTATGTAAGTGTGTCCTATCTCCTATAACTCTATCCTAAATTCGTTGCTTTACCTGCATTCCATTGCTAAGCTGCCACTCTGGGCCACCATAGTCTCTTATCTGGGCTTCTCCACAAAATACCTGTTAGACCTTCTGTCCTCCACTGAGCAGCTGGAGCACACCTTGTCAAATTTAGGTCATATCACTTTATTTCCCACTGCACCAGAATATTATGACTATTTAACCCTGGCTCACTGGTACTATACAACTTGCCTTCCCACACCTCCCTACCTCTCTGACTGGACCTGTACCAATATCCCTTAAGCACTTCTCTTATCTCAATAGTGCTTTTTCTGTTCTTTGGTGGGCATCTTAGAGCCTCCACACTTCTCCCTTGATATCTGTATCCCCCAAGGCTGCTCCTCCTTATTTAGATACTAAAATGGCATCCTCACATAGAGCCCTCTTCCCACCTAATTTAAAGCAACCTCCGGCCACAGAGTGTCACACCACCTTGTTCTGTTTTCTTCGCATACCTAATCTCTTAGCAGTAGAGCTGAATGGTAAAGCATGTGAACACCAGGCCCAGACTCTGGGCTCAAATCCCAGTTACACCTCTCACTGGCTGGATGACTTAGGGCAAAGTACTTCACCTTTCAATGCCTCTGGTTTCAGAATAATAGTACTTCACAAAATTATTATGAAAACTGAATGATAATACATTCAAAGTCTTACCCCAGAATTTGACTCAGAGTAAACACTCAGTATAATTTCACTATTATTATTTGTTTATTGTTTGCCCTCTGTACTTTCCTTATAGTCCACCCCAACCCCAAATGTAAAAATTAAAAAGAACAGATCTTATGGCATTGCTACCTTCCAACTCCTTTATTGCCCAGTGAAGGCCAAGTGTATTTGTCAAATGACTGAAGTGACAAAGGAAAAATGTGTTTATTTATCTTAACTGGTCTCATTTTTAAAAACTCAGATCTGCAGAGAAGCCACCAAGAATTATTGCAGTTTCTTTGTTCTTTCTTAGTTTGTATATCTTAATCTACTGTTTCTGGGAAGCTACCCTTTTCTGGGAGGCAGAAGAAAGAAATATTGGTTCCATCACTTCCAAACAAGAGGGTATGAACAGCTGCGCTGGTCCTTATGAGACTCATCCATAACACTGAGTTTGTTATTACAGGTTGAAGATGAAAGGCTGGGTCAGGTGTGGATTTTGGTTTTTGGTTTAGTTTTTTCATTAGCTCTAAAATCTATGATTTCTAGGAATGTAGTCAAATCCAGGAAAAATATTAAAGTCTACAAGGTAAAACTTTTAATTATTTTCCAAATTATCACAAAACAAGTAAAGTTATGTCTCTGGGATTTTTGGTGGTATGGGGGATTGAACCCAGGGCCTTGAACATGCAGGGCGAGCACTCTGCCAGAGTTACATCCCTCAGCCCTCTTTATTTTATTTTGAGATTTAGCCTGGGTAAATTGTCCATTCGAAGGCACAATCCTTCTGCCTCAGCCTTCTGAGTAGCTAAGATTATAGGCATGTGCCACTGCACCTGACTTTTGGGATTATTTCTAATCACACACAAAAATTAGCTTCTAAATTCATGCACACATGCTCACCCACAAACATACACAACCTATTTGACTAAAGTTATGTGCTTAGCCAGTAACTACAATTTTAAAAAAGAAAACAACTATCTCAAATTTATGCTTGAAACACATTTGAAGAATGTCCTTCTTACATATGTTTACCTCTGACTTTGAACAGAAAAACCAACTTTCTCCTAATGAGATTATCACTCCCACATTTTATGGTTATTTCACTTCTATTAATTAAATTAAATTTAAATTGGTAAGTTAAAATGAATAATTATATATGCCAGGTGTTTTAAGGCCTTGGTTAATAGGTTTGGAGTTGCTCTCCTACCACTTCCTTGAAACAGTTCTAAATGTTTTCCATCTTGATTTCTGGTTGTAATTCTGCAAGTGAAGTTTTCTCTCTTCCATTCCATACTCCTCTGCTCTGCCCCCAACCCCAGGAAAGGCAGGTTCCAGTGCTTCTCCTGGTACCACTGACCCACTGGAAGAATTGTTTCAGGTGCTATCCACCAGGTTTCTCCATTATAAAGTCATTACTTTTCCCTTTGTAATTAATAATTTATGGAGAGAGATTTTGATGAGAAAAGAAAATTTTTTGTCAAACTTTCATCTGCTAGTTTTAGCATTCATTTATGATTTTCTGTGGTTAATAATTGACATTCTATTTTAAGGAAATCCCCATGTATTTACTCATTTATATTAGTATATACTCTTAGATTATCTTATTCGGTGGTTTATAATCATTGTGATAATTTATTTTGATCATAAAATTATTATAGTTTAGAGATGAGGAGACCCTTCAAACTTCCACCTGTCTTTCTGACCAAGTCCCCATCATTTTTGTTTCTTAACAAAATTTCTTCTAGTGCAACAGCCTTATCTTGTAATTTGCCTGTCCCAGCTTTGGAATCAGCCTTCTTTCCAAGAAGCTGTGGCAAAGAGCCACCACTGGAAAATAGGATTTCTAAACCAAGACTTAGGTGATAGATGTAATGCTGGTGAGTCACTGTTTAAACTATAGGAATTTATTAGTTTCTTTTCATCGCTTATCAATTAGAACTTTCATTCCCTACGAGGGTCTAGAGAGGATTTTTTTTTGAACTGGGGATTGAACCCAGGAGCACTTTACCACTGTTTTACATCCTGCCTGTTATATCTGCAGCCCTTTTTATTCATTTATTTTATTTTGAAAGACGGTCTCGTTAACTTGCTTAGGACTTCGCTAAATTGCTGGGGCTGGCCTTGAAATTGCCACCCTCCTAACTCAGCCTCCTGAGCTGCTGGGTTTGCAAGCATGTGACACCTCGCCCGATTAGAGAGAAATTTTTTATTATCTTCCTCAGTTGTATCTCCATTTTGAGTCAGAATGACTCACGTGCTTGGACAGAGACCCATCACACTCAAAGTATTCGGTTTTCAACCGTTTGAGAACGTTCAGGAGGCGGGTCTTCACAGGCATGCAATACAAAGCAGTGTCCTCCAGAGTCCGCTGTGTTACGTCCAGCGCAGCGCCTGAGCTTCCTCAAACCTGGAGCGTCTGCAACACTTTGCAAGGACACCAAAGAGGGGGACACGTCAGAGCTCCGACTTCCTCCCGACGCCGTCTGTGATTGGCTCCTGGGGTTATAAAAAACACGTGAATGAATAGCTGCCGTTGGCAGAAACTTGCTGGAGGTCTCTAGGTGGTATCGCTCTCTCCTCCTTGTCAACCCACGGGCGAGCGTAGCCGGGGGAGGATGAAGTCGTCCTGTGTCCTGCTCACCGCCCTGGTGGCGCTGGCCGCCTATTACGTCTACATCCCGCTGCCCAGCTCATTGTCGGATCCCTGGAAGCTGATGCTGCTGGATGCGACTTTCCGGGGCGCACAGCAAGTGGTGAGGCGCAGCCCGCGGCTGCTTCTCTCTCCTTCCTCTTAAGCAAATATTTGATGGGGAAGCAAAATTTCTCGTTTGTGTTCCACGAGAACACATATTGCTAACGCAGTGAGGCGGTCGCTTTTTTAAGGTGGCCCAGCCGGACATTTTCAGGGTATCGCCTTCGCCTCCTCCTAGCAGAGGGCTCGATCTGTGTCGCCTGGTCTGCGTGTGTGATGGAAGAGGTTAAGTTCTTGAACAGAATTTGACAGTTGTTTAACTTCGCGTCTGCTGTAATTATCGCCCTCTTTTTGGTTTGCAGTGTCAAAAGCCAAATCCTTCAGCATTTTGTAAACCGCTCCTCCCCCGTTTTCGTTCTCCTATAGGAGCCGGCAGAGAATGAGTTAAATGTTGTAGGGAGGTTCGCGGAAAACCGGCTGTAATTCCAAGGAATGTAGCCACCTTAAAAGCAGAACCGGGCAAGGACAGTCATCCCAATGTCCCCTTGGCCTTGGCGCGCTCCATTCCCGGGGACAGCGGGCAGGGTTCCAGTTCCGATAGTACTTGAGGAACCGCACGGATCTCCCATTTCATCCATGGCACTTCGCAGCTCAGGCCAAGAAAGGAGGCCAGAAGGCCCGGCTGGCTGAAAAGGTGGCAGAGACAGTGGCAGTCCTTGTGTGTTTCGTGCTTGTCCCACAGCATTTATTTTTTGACCTTGGCTGTCAAGGAGATTATCTTTGCCTGAGCCAGGATACTCTGCCTTAACCTGGAAGGGTAACATTTCTCGCCATTACATTGTGGGTGTGTGCCCTCTACCCACACCAGACAGGGAAAGGAAACTGGTTTATTCCATGGGAAGAGGCATTGTTTTTACAGTCAGAACTACAGTCTGCAGCCAAGCCTAAGCCCTATGATTGGGCAGTATTTCTGAGCAGCCTGCCTTATTTAAACTAAACTCAACTCTTTTTATTTGTATTTTTTTTGGTGGTTGTAGTACTGGCCATTTAACCCAGGGGCACTTCACCACTGAATTATACCCCAGCTCCTATTATTTATTTATTTATTTGAGACTGGGTCTCTAAGTTGCCCAGACTGGCCCCAAACTTTTTAACCTTCTGTCTCAACCTCCCCAGTCTCTGGGATTACAGTCTTGGGTCACCAGGCCATATGTCTTATCTAAACTCTTAACGCTCCTTCAAAATCAAATGATCTCCCTCCTCCAACCTTGAACATTAATCTCAGGTTATTTTTGTAAAGTCCTTTTTTTTTTTTTTTTTTTTTTTTTTTTCAGAAATGACAACTAGACAAAGAGATTTTTTAAAAATGTGATTTTCCTAGAGGGTTTACATTTCCTTTTTCTAGCCACTATGTGTAGAATTACATAGGCCGTGTGGCTTTGTGCTGTTAAAAAGTCCCCTTCCTAGGGCATTGTAGTACATTTCTAGTACAGATTTGCTTTTCCCCAATCCAGCCACATTCTTCACCTCCAAGTCTTCTTTTGTCCATTAGGAAAAGTCTATGAAGCTACAGACTTCCTTCTTTTCCAACTGCTTATTAAAATTTGACACGACAAAACAATGACCATTCCATTCTCTAGCACTGATATCAATCAAAACCAAAAAATCAGTCTTCATGTAGGAAGCCCAGCAATCCCTCTCTCCCCTTATGAGATTATGTAATTTGAAAGTAACACCCTTCAAAGATTCTGGAGAACAATGGTGTTTACCTGCATAGGTTAAATGGACATCTACAATAGAAATAAGGAAAACACATGCTGAAAATACATGGTGGCCCATGCCTTCGGACTCAGGAGGACTGCAAGTTTAATGCTGGCCTCAGCACCTTAGTGAGGCCTTAAGCAACTCAGCAAGACCCTGTCCCAAAATATAAGAAAAGGCTGGGGATATGGCTTCGTGGTTAAGCTCCCCTGGGTTCATCCCTGGTACCAAAAATAAATATATAAATAAGGAAAATAAATAAATATGAAAAAAGAAACCTGTTGTCTGCAGACAGTATTCTTAATTTTCAGGTCACTGAGAAAATCTCCCTTATTATAAGTAATGTGGGGAAAACAGGGTTTGTAGAAAGAACTATCTTCCCTACCTAGGTGACCAAACCATCAAGAGTGAGGCTGTATAGGGTTCTCCCCAGTGTGCCCTCAGCTAGTGTTTGGAAATGGAAAGATTGTAATGCCAGGGCCTATCAATAGATGAGGTGACAAGAATCTTCACCTTACACTGTGACCCTGGATTGGAGTAGATTGGCTGAAAAGTGATTCTTGTCATTTCTCTTCTGCATTGTGAAGTATAAGTAAGATCATTCAGAACAGATGAAAGCATATCTTACTCAGTAAAGCCATTTTCCTGAGTTTTCCCTGTAAAATATGAATCAACCCGGAGCCTGTGTATCCTAGGCAAGTGCTGTACCACTGAGCTACACGCATAGCCCAGGAATGTATGAGTGTATGCATTTGTTTATTTTGTGGTACTGGGATGGAACCCAGCTGTACCCCTGAGTTATATCCCCAGCCCTTTTTATTTATTTATTTTTTTATTTTGAGACAAGATCTTGCTAAGTTGAAGAGGCTAGACTTGAACTTTTGATTGTCCTGTCTCAGCCTCCCCAGTGGCAGCCATTGTTTCCCACCCCAGTACTGTACTTAAATGCCTGGTATGTGTAATTCCAAGAGTTGTCTCCAAGGATCCACTATGAATTGTGGGGAAAATCTATCAGGTTACCTAATTTTGTTGAAGCAATAAAATAAATGTAAATTGGAAGTCATTTATATCCTTGAAACCTAGAGAGCTACCACTGAATTGCATGGCATAAACCGTGTTATTCAAAATAATTTTAGTTTTCATTGGTTGGCTCCATTGTAAAAGTAATGGAAGCCATTTAGAAGATTAAGCTTGGCCTACTACCTGACACAGCAGCACCTGCCTAGCTGGCATCAAGAGCCAAGAGTATTGCTTTATTCTTTTTCAAGTGCTTTACCCTTTACTACCACTTCTTATCACCTTTATTTTGTACAGTGAGCCACATTATTGAGATATGTTCATTGCACTGTTGTTCCTTGAAGTCCTCCAATATTTCCTAAGAAGTTACTTAGGGACAATAAAAACTTAAAAGAGCTAGAGATGTAGTTCAGTGGTCAAGAGCTCCTGGGTTCAATCCCCACTACCATAAATAAATAAATAGCTACTTAGGATTTATCTCTTAATTCATCTCAAATACAGATGCTACATTGGAATCCCCTAGAAACCATTAAAAAATCCTGATGCCCAGGTCATAGCCTATGCCAAATTTATTTGGAATCTCTGGAAGATAAGGATTTTTAACAAGTGTTTTTAGAACTTCCTCCAGGTGATTTAAATTGCAGAAAACCTTGAAAGACACTGCTTTATAAAATAAATGTATTTCTGTGATAGATAATACATTTTCTTTAATCTGTTCAAGTTACATTGCATGTGTGAAGCTGGGAATGACCCCTTTTACATTAGCATGGATTAGTTTATCAGATTAGTTGGTTGATACTAACAGTCTACGGGGATCAAATACTAACTAGGCTAATTTCAGTGTTATAAAAGAGCCATTATAACGCCTGAGCAGTGGAAAAACACAAGTGAAAACAGGTCTGGGAAGGGCAGTGGAGCAGTTTAGATAATATGGGGCAACAGGAAACTGGAAGAGAGAAAGGAGAGAGAGTAGGGAAGTTATGAATGCTGATTTCAAAATGCTATGCAAGTGAAGAAATGCAGATGAAGGGACTGAGATGTGTAAACTGCTGGAGAAAATGTACATCAGTAGTACTTTTGTTGAGGACAGTTTGGCAATACTCACCAGAAGTATATTGGTTCTTTGACTGAATTTTATTCCTCTGGATAGAATTGGTTGTAAATCATGATGGATATTGGCAAAATTGGGCTGGGGTTGAAGCTCATGGTGGAGGTTTGCCTGGCATAAGCAATCTGTAGTTGTAAACTTGGAAACTTTTACAAGATTAAAAACTTTGGGGCTGGGGATGTGGCTCAAGTGGTAGCGCGCTCGCCTGGCATGCGTACAGCCCGGGTTCGATCCTCAGCACCACATACAAACAAAGATGTTGTGTCAGCCAAAAACTAAAAAAAATAAATATTAAAAAATTCTTCAAAACAAAACAAAAACGTTGTTTAACTAGTCCTTTTTAGAGCCCTGCCATTTATAAGAAATGTGGAGAAGCATTTAATACATATATTTTTCAGCATCATTTAAGGGAATAAAAAATTTAAAACAATGAAGGAGAGGATATGGCACGGACCTCAGAGGTAGTAGAGCACTTGCCTAGCATGTGTGAGGCCCTGTGTTTTTTTTTTTATTGCCCTAAAGGCATTTATTTATTTATTTATTTTTTAATATTTATTTTTTAGTTTTCAGCGGACACAACATCTTTGTTTGTATGTGGTGCTGAGGATCGAACCTGGGCCGCACGCATGCCAGGCAAGCGCGTTATCGCTTGAGCCACATCCCCAGCCTAAAAAACTTATGTTGTAAAATAATGTTTAATGACTTGAGAAGATTTGTATTGTATATTAAGAAGGAAAGGCTATAATATTGCACATACACTATTTACATATCAAAAAGTACATTTATGTATTTTTTTCACAATGAAGATATAATAAAATTTTTTAAAACTTTTTTTTTGGTCTAGGGGTATGTTTCTTTTTTCTAAAGTGAAATTGTGTGTATATGTATATCAATGTGATGTATATTTCTTAGAATTGTTCTATGAAGAAAATCAGATTTTTTTTTTTTAAAAAAGCTATTTGATATAGTTATTTAGTCTCATGCAAAGTCACTTAGACTTAGCACAGATTGAAAACCTACAGTGTTAGCTGGGCATGATGGTGCACACCTGTAATCTCAGTGACTTGGGAGGCTGAGACAGGAGGATGGCAAGTTTGAAGCCAGCCTGGGCAACTTAGTGAGACTCTATCTAAAAATAAAAAGTAAAAAAGTCTGGGGATGTAGCCCCAAGTAGA